CTTTAAAGAAAAAGAATTTCATTTTGGATATTCTGTGTTTGAGGTGGTTATTAGACATCCAATGTAAAGTTAATGAGTTATTTAGATTTATGATTCTGGATATTCAAATGAGGTGTAGACTGGAGAATAAATGTGAGAGTTATGGGTAGATAAATGGTGTTTAAAGCTATATAACTGTATGAGATGATAGAGTGTTGCTACAGTTAATACAGAGAAGAGGAATGTATGCTTTTCTTTCTTTTCTCTTTATTTGTTTTTAATTAATTAATTTACATTCATTCACTGAGCATTGTCACTGCATACAAAATGTGATTTCCCATCCAGAAAATACTGCATAGTGGCATAATCATATATGTTTTCATCAATAATTTTCCATTTCTAGTTATATATATATATATATATATATATATATATATGTCTCACCCTTTTTTATATGTCTCACCCTCTGCCATTTTCCACCCTTCTCCCACACTATCTCAGGTGTCCACAGTTGTTTTTGATTCCTTTTTTCCCCACATATTACTGATTCACAAAATTTCTTAAATAATCTAACTACTTTAAATAGCAAGCTCAGCTGATATATACATATCTATGAATACATGTCTGACTTTAGGCATTTTTTACTATATTTTTAACTTCAAGAAAAGCAGTTTTGGCTTTAATAAATCAAAGAAATGCTAAGGAATTATACTTAAGGCTTAAAGCCAGGAAACAGGTTGGGATTCTGTTCAAATAGTAGGTACATGAACTTATCGGCAGCTCATGACAGAACAAAAGTCCTTAAAACTGGAAAACAAAGCCTAGGAGAAAATCAGCAATGTTTTAGTCAAAAGTCATAAAATGCTGGGACCAGCAGTTAGCGTAATGGCTATGTCGCTGGACTCCCATGTAGTCAAATGCGGTTCGAGTCCCGGACCCGGTGGCTTAAAACTCACGTTGGGCGTGTGTGCGTGCGTGCCCAAGATCCCAAGAGGAAAATGGAGGAGAAGGGATTGAGGTGCTGCCATCCCCCCTAGGGGGTGATTTCTGTCTCTCTCTGTCTTTCTGGCGAGTGCACACGCCCTATAGCAAAAACATCTAAAAAAAAGTCATAAAATACTATTTCATCAGTCCAGTCTCATGTACTTAATCTATCTTCTGTTGTGGTCTGATTTTCCCAATTAAATTCTGGTATATAATATTCAACTCCAGACTTGCCCTACACTTAAGTTGGCCATTTTCTTAGTTTTTGAACTCTTACCTCTGTGTGACTGTATTTAATTTTCCTGGTATAGCACTCCCTTGGGAACTTCTTGGAGATCTGGTCTGGTGTTGGTAAATGCTTTCAGGTTTTGTTTATCTGAGAATGTTCTTGTCTTTTCTTCTCATGTGAAGAATAATCTTGCCGAGTACAGTATTTTTGGGTGCAATTGCTTTTTCCTTAACACTTTGAATATATTTTCCCATTCTTTCCTCACTCCCATTGTTTCCGATGAGAGATCCGCTATCAGCCTGATGGTTACCTTCCTTGTAGGTAACTTGGAGTTTCTCTCTTGCCAATCTTAGTATCTTGTCTTTGTCTGTGGTTTTTACCAATTTGGCTATGATGTGCTTTGGAGAAGATCTTCTTGGGTTGATTCTATTTGGGGTCCTTTTTATTTCTTGGGACTGGATCTTTGAATGCCTCTTCAAGTTTGGAAAGTTTTCTTCCAGTATTTCATGGAACAGATTGTCAATCCCTTTATGAGTCTCTTCCCCTTTTGGGATACCAATTATCTGAATGTTTGGACGTTTGATGGTATCTAGTATTTCTTGCATATTATTCTCATTTTTTTGGGCAATTTTCTGTCTTCATGGTGGATTTTTCTAGGCCAGTGATTCTCTCTTCTACATCTGGGATTCTATTTTCTGTTTGATCTAGTCTGCTTTAAATACTTTCAAGGGAGGTTTTGACTTCCTGTATTATAGCCTTCATCTTTAACAGGTCCATTTGATTCTTTTTTATAATGTGAATTTCCTCTTTTAGATCTTGCAAGAATTTCCTCACCTCCTGGAGCTCATCAGCTCCTTTCCCCTGCCTCTTCAGCAATTCATTGTTTCTCTTCTCTTTGATCTCTGTGAGCTTTGTCATTATAAAAATTCTAAATTCTTTATCTGACATTTCCATGAATTTCATTGTACTGTCTGAGGATGAGCAAGAGTTATTATTTTTCCTTGGAGGAGAGGTATTTTCTTGTTTTTCCATATTTCTTGTGACCCTGCAGTGATTTCTAGTCATCTGATGGGTGGTGAGTTTCTTCTTAATTCTTGAAGTTCAGTCTGAGCATTCAGAGGTGTGCAGGAGGTGATCTGCAGTTTCTCTTCCATTTTGTTTTCACTCTTTGTGCATCAGAATCAGTGGGAATAGAGGAATATTCTAACCCTAATTGTATTCAGATGTTTAGATCCTATTCACTTGGACCTATCTAGACACTTATTGTGTAGGAGCTGAGAAGTCAATGAGCAAAGATAAAGAAAAAGGAAAAGAATTAGAGAAAAGGAAAAAAGAAAATATAAAATAAAAAGAAGTAACAAAAAAGATGGAGATTTTAATTTTAAAAAGCAAAAGACACAGAGAGACAGAAATGGAAAGACAGGCAAAACTACCCACTAGAAATGAGTGAGGGAGATGTTTCAGCAGAAGATCTTTATTTTAAGTCTCTAAAAGCAATATTTCACAGCTGAAGTTCAGGATCCATGTGGGGATGGGTCTGGGTTTGTGCCTTTCTAGAAATGAGTGAGGTAGACATTTCAGCAGAAAATCTTCATTTTTAAGTCTCTGAAAGCAGTATTTAACAGCTGAAGTTCAGGATCCACGTGGGCTTCTTTTCTTTTTTTCTTTTTAAGAGGTTTTTGCCTTAGAGTGTGCATTTGCTGGAGAGAGAGAGAGAGAGAGAGAGAAAGTAAGAAATCACCCTCTGGGAGTGATGGCCACGTAGCAATCCCTTCTCCTCCTGGGATCTTTGGCACATGTGCCTAGCATGAGTTTCAAGCCACTGGGTCCAGGACTCAAACCATGATCAGCCATGTGGGAGTCCAGGAATGTAACCATTACACCATCTCCTGGGTCCCTGAAGTTTACTCTTTATTATTGGTTTTTGGCACCTTATTATATATTACATAGTGTAATTTTTTTTTTTTTTTAGTTTTTTTATTTGGAGAGGTTTTTGCTATAGAGCGTGTGCTTGCTAGAAAGACAGAGAGAGACAGAGAGACAGAAAGTGAGAAATCACCTCCCCAGGGGAGATGGCCACGCTAAATCCCTTCTCCTCCATTCTCCTCTTGGGATCTTGGGCATGCACACACACACGCACCCAGCATGAGTTTTAGTTTTAATTTTTTTTGCTTGAGTTTATTTATTTATTTTTTTAGGAAATAAAATAAATAAATAAACTAATTTATTTTTTATTTATAAAAATTTATTTTTTATTTATTATTTATTAGTTTATTTATTTATTTTTAGGATTCTGGCTGTCGCAGGGGAAGATCCCTTGCCAGCTTTAGCTTTAGTGTAAACAAACAGGAAGAGAACCAAGAGGACCTAGATACCTTTAAAGAAGTCTGTGCTGTTTGGACCAGTATTGGTTTAATGCCTTTAATATTGCCTCTCTATTCCGACCTTACCCCTTTAAGAACAAACAGAACAACAGTAGAAGCTAAGAATCTCTCCTTTCCTGAGTGGAACCCAAGGCTCAAACACGGGCCAAGGAATGCTGTAGACTTGACGACAGTGACCAGGATTGTGAAATTGTTTAAGCATTTTTGGACATTGGGACACAGTCAATATGATGCCCAGAAGCACCATGATCATGATTTAAAAAGCCAGTTCCTTTAAGCAGATTTGAAATTAATTCTCAGATTGGACAGAAGACTGGTGTAACTTAATAGGTAAGCTCTTTTGGGTCAATACACATTCAAATGGTTGTACCTGATACTGCTAAATGTATTGTGGGGATAGATAAAAGTACAAATAGTACTTCTTTTGATTGTAAGAGATATTCACAGTAGGGAAATATCATAATTAGAACAGTGGTAGAGGGGCCAGCAGGTGGCATAATGGCTATGTTGCTGAACTCCCATGTAGTCAACCACAGTTTGAGTTCCAGACCCGGTGGCTTAAACTCACACTGGGCGTGTGAGCCTGCCCAAGATCCTAAGAGGAGAATGGAGGAGAAGGGATTGCGGCGTGGCCATCGCCCCTGGAGGGTGATTTCTCGCTTTCTGTCTCTCTGTCTCTCTCTGTCTTTCTGGCGAGTGCACGTGCCCTATAGCAAAAACCTCTCCCAAAGAAAGAAAGAAAGAAAGATTGGCAGATGCGTGCACAGAGAGAGCACAACCTGCAGCAAGTCATCTTTTTGAGAATGTGTTGTAGTCAAATCAGCAAGAAATAAGAAGACATCCAGACATAGCCAAATTATTGGAGTTTTATTGCCAGCGACTTACAGGAGGACACGTGTCTCTCAAAGCCCCTGCGGCCCTGGGTGAAAAGAGAGGGGTGCTTAAAAAAGGCAACAATCACAATCAATTCTGGGTTGACTCTGTGATTACAATGAAAAATGAGGAGGGGGGTGGAGAGGAAAGGGAGTGGGGTTTCTATGAGACAGCAGTTACAGAAGCTAAATTAAGTAGGTTAATAATGTTTAAGGGTACTCTCCAGACCTTTTTTTAAAGGTCCCAAGGCTCCAGGCAGGGGTCTGGTATGGGTGATTACACTGCTAAGGAACTTGTGAACAAAAAGGCTTTGGGCAAGTTAGCAAAGACCGACTATTCATCATGCTATTTGCTCTGGACAAAAGGAGGAAGCAAGGATAACATAAAGTTCAAAGATGGAGGTGTTTCTGCTTCAAACGAACCTTTTCTCGCAAGAGCAAGAATGCACTCCTGCCCACAAAACAGCATTAATCTACTCCAGCCTCCATGATCCAAACATTGCCCAGTAGGCTTCATCTCTTAAAGATTATACCGTTAAGTTGGGGATCAAACCTGCACATCAACCCTTGGGGGACAAACCGTTATCTAAATGCTAACAACTCTGTGGAATGTACATTTCTGTCTCAGGAAATCAACTTAAAAATCTTAAAATTAAGAAATGAGGAGGCAGCAGATGGCACAATGGCTTCATTGCTGGACTCTCACGTGGCCAACTGAAGTTCGAGTCCTGAACCCAGTGGCTTAACATTCACAACAGGGGTGTGTGGGTGCATGCCCAAAATCCCGAGAGGAGAATGGAGGAGAAATGATTGTGGCGTGGCCATCTCCCCTGGGGGGTGATTTCTCGCTTTCTGTCTTTCAGTCTCTCTATGTCTTTCCAGTGAGTGCATGCACCCTATAGCAAAAATCTAAAAAAAAAAACAAAACAAAAAACCCCAAAAGAAAACAATTCATGCCAAGTGCACGTGTGCGAGTGCCAAAAATCCCAAGAGGAGACTGGAAGAAAAAGGATTGAGGTGTGGCCATCTCCCTTGATTGGGGGG